GTCTTTAAAAGCAGACATTTGGACACATTTTGGTTTTAACAATTATGAGTATATAATATAATTTCATAATATTCTGCTGGCTTTGTTGATTCAGTGGCATTGAGCAATAAAAATAAAATAACATGCATCAATATCAAAATCAAATCAAGCTGCATTGTATCGAGAACTGTATTGCATTGTGAGCTTTGTATCACAAACCGTATCAAATCGTCAAAATGTTAGGATCTAGTGTTATTAGAAGCACCTCTGAGGACAGCCACAGTTGAGATCAACACCGTCTGAGTAAGGAGCCACCACACAGGCTGCATCAGCCAGAGTCTGAGCATCATTGGCAGCAAACTGCACGATCAGGGGTCGATCACCTGTTGACAAACAGTAAACACTTCTCTCCATCTCATCATATTCCAGACAATTATGGCAGTGCAATCAATAACAAATAACTTAGATAGTAGCAAAATATGGTTGGGCTGCATATGGGAATACTAATTACCTTTATTGGTGGTAAATTCACTGTCTCTGGCCTTGACAGACCGCATGAAGTCAGCTGCAATGATCATTGGGGTGAAGCAGATGTCACAGCTGTACTTCCTAACTAAAGTCCTAAACGCCAACCTGTACAGGAAGAAAATGTAACCAGTATTAAGGCACATAGCGTTAACAAAGCTTAATCTGAGCAATAACCTTCAAAGCACCGGCTTCTTTACTTACATAGAACGATCTAATAATTCACTTACTTTGAATATCGAACCATTGGGGCACAGATCTTCACCACTTTGCCCCTTTCAAACACTTCCATGATGCTGCTGCTGCTGGTGGCGCTGGCTGTCTTCATCCTTACCAATTAGCCACAAGCTAACTATCCCGATATTCAAGAGAAGACGTTCTATAAGCAAAGACTTTCGTAGTTTGACATATTTATTTTTGTTTTAACACTTCAGTCAACTTTGATAGGCACCAGAAATTTCTACTCTAAGGTAACAAGCACCGAAGACCACCGAGCAGCACGCGACGGAAGAACGTGGGCGTGAACCCGTGCGTCACACACACCGTGCTGCCATTTTTTATTTATTCTTTATATTTTATTTTTAGCGAAAACATCCACCTCCTATTATATCATGAAATAGCTTTCATTAAAAAAATAAACTACTTAGAGGGCGTTTGAAATAGCTTGGATCCGCCTACGTCATGACGGCTTCAGAGTCCGTAGGAAAAAGTAGCACTAAAGGTTTTATTACGATTTCACACTAGTTACTGTTTACAGTCCACGATAACGAGCTTAAAAATGTAAAATTACTAATTAAACATATGTCAGACGTTCAAATAATACAAATATGATGATAAAAGTTGCTTATTTAATTATGTCTGGCAGATTAAACAAATATACTTTAAAAACTGAAAGCCAAGTGCAAGCTACTCAATATAAAAATCAGCTTTTGCACTTTATTCCGTAGAATGAGTAATGTATTCACTGTTTATGCCCTATAACGCCACTATATTCAATGAGTAGTTGTACACATTATTCCCACAAGAGGGCATACGAACAGCACACGTGAATATATATATATATATATATATATATATATATATATATGTTGTAAGCTGTATAAAGACCACTATTTATTTTAGAAAGAACATAAGGCAATAACAACGGTCAATACAAATAAAAACTTTCAATTTTATTTGATAAAACAAAACACTTCCTTAAAACAAACAAACACAAACAATTACTCTCCCATATTATTATGTTTCAAGTTCCTGAAGCGACCTGTACGTATTCTCGAGGTAATCTAAAACACCAGAGGTACTGGACAGAGAGTTGAACGCCTTTTTCTCAGGTTGGGAAGTAACTCTTTCCAGCATGTAGATAAGATGTTGGTGAAAACAGGTGAACGGAGTGCCTAGTTCCGTGGAAATGTCCACCCAGTCCCATATACACTGTAAAGGTGTATCTTCATATCCGGCAAACATGGCAGGGTTCGTAAGCAATCCTCGTGCAGCCATCACACCTAAAGTGCAAATTTAAACAAAAACAAAAAAGAGCAAGTGAAATATTGAGATTCAAGCATTCATCACAATATGATAGCTATTTCAAACATACCATCGACACCAGTGAGCTGGTGAGTAGACTCCACATCTCGAAGGTATTTGATGTCCCCATTAGCAATGACAGGAATAGACACACTGTCTTTGATTGTCTTTATGGCGTCATAATGAACCGGCTGGTGGCGTTCTTCTGTTGTACGACCATGGACTGTGATCCACGACACGCCAGCTGATTCAGCCKTTTGACACAGATCCACCGTCTGCCTCAAGTCTTTGTGAATCCTGTGAATGAAATCATTTCTTTAATTATAACCAGACCACTTCTAATAATAGCAGTAAACATGACTGCATAAAAACAACCCTTCTTCAGACCAAATATAAATGTTTTAATAGCTTGAACAAAGAAAAACCTGAGACCTATTGGCATTTCTGATACTACAAATTAGTGYGATTTAATTATCATCTGTCGCCAAAAAGCAAAGGTAGGCAATAACGTGTTTATCTGTTGACAAAATGTCTCATGAACCACTGGAAAACATTAGAGGTTTAATTTCAAACTGCTTTCACTCTTTACCTTATCTTGATGGAGGTTGTGTAGTTTGGATTTTCAACTTGGTTTCTGACATGTCTCACCATGTCTTTTACAAGTTCAGGCTTATTAATGAGGCATGCACCATACCCTGCCGACATAGCCCACCTGAAAACATAATAAATAAACTCATAAAATTAGGAAGTATGGTTGTGCATAAAAATCAATATATAATGATATTTAAAAAAAGGGGCAGTATAACCATGTGTGACTACTGTTCAGAGAAAGAACAGCAAGCTGCAAGTGAAATCAATGAGTAAGTGAAATGGCCAGCAGTATTCTGGAAGTACCTTTGTCTTTAAAAGCAGACATTTGGACACATTTTGGTTTTAAGAATTATGAGTATATAATATAATTTCATAATATTTTGCTGGCTTTGTTGATTCGGTGGCATTGAGCAATAAAAATAAAATAA